GTAACGTCGATAACTATGTTTAACCGGAGATTAGTGTTAACCAGACATTGAGTAACCGGCCCTAAGGGAGTCTGTAACGTCGATAACTATGTTTAACCGGAGATTAGTGTTAACCAGACATTGAGTAACCGGCCCTAAACCTGCCTATCAACTCACCTAATTATGGTATTTCCAATTTGTATATTTACTGAGGGTTAAAACGGCATGCCGGTCGACTCAAGCGGTTTGTCAAACTTAAGAACTAAATAAGTCACACAAGCTGCTGATTAAACCTACTTTAGTATTTTCCCATAAACTTTAGTTGCGATCCCGTACGAGTCCGGACTAGTCAGAAATAGTCAGAATCAGTCAGATTTTACTGGAAATCGATCCCGTACTCGGTTCTCTGACTATTGAGAGGAAAAAAAGAGAGTAAATGCGGTTCTCTCTCTGTCAGAAGTTACCAGTTTTAGTCCGAGAATTTTTTACTGGTAAATTCTGGTAAATGTGTCAAACGATCAGCTGTAGTGTGTTTGGCAACCAAATGTAAACAAAAGAAAAGTGCACTCTGCTAATTCATGTTGAAAAGTATTTAATTACTTGTTTAAGTGGATTCAAATGAATTTGAAAGTATTTTTGGTTATTTACATGTGTGAGCTGAGTGTGTTTACATACAAAATAAGCAAAAATTCACAACCAAAATTTGGAGGTTATGTTGAAGTTAACAGAAGTTACCATTTTTTACTAGAAAGCGATCCCGTACTTTTCAATGTTACTCTCTCGCTCTGAGCGAATTTTTATTTTTTGACAGTTTTACTAGTCCGAGTCCGAGGAATACGGGATTGCACCTTTTTTTGTAGATGAAAAATAAATTTCAACTTAAATATCGATATGGCGGGTAAAGTACCGATGTCTTCGAAACATCGACCTTGGAATATCGATTCAAAAAATCGATTATCGTGCCATGAAATATCTATTGTGGCGAATACTGCGGCAACGCGAAGCGAACTACGAGAAATATGCAGAATGTTCGAAGAATGACGTAGAATGTTCCACAAAGAGAAACGTCAAGTTGGATGAACACTGCGAACAGCGAGAGAAAGAGAATGAGCGATAAACTTCAGAACGTTCGAGAGT